ACACAAAAATCGGTTGGGCATATTTGTGTGAGTTTATTTCTGTTATTTATCCTAGTCAAATGTTCTATGTATCTATCCCTCCATCAACACTAGTTCCTTACTCAACTATCTAACACCATACACGGGATTGAGGTCCCTCATTTTAGCTTGGTGAGAATGGAACTTTAGTCTCCCTTTGAAGCCTTCGCTGGTGGGTGGGAGAGTGAAGTCACATTTTATTTTCTGCAATATTTGGCTGGAGTAAAATGGTTATTGTCTAAACATTTTCTGTCTCATTAGGCCACCCCCTTCCTGGGCCTTTGTCTAGAAAGAGCAGGCTTTTCTTGGCACATTTTTTTGTCTACACCCACTGGCATTTCCAGGTTGCCAGCTTCTTAAACTCTATGTTTGGAATATATGTAGCAAAAGAAAACCCAGAGAATTAACCACCATGTTGTTTCTTGAGTCCTGAGGTCTTTATGTAGTCAAAGTAGAAATGTGACTCACAAATTTTACCTCCTGGCTAGAGCTTTTCTTTGCGGTTTGGAAATAAGTATCACAATTCTTCATTGTCATCTGCTTCTGTATGTCTCAAAGATACCTCAAATGTAACTTGTTCAAAGCTGAACCCACTTTGAATGTTGCACTATAATCAAATCGCACAAGACAAAAATTTAAAGCTATTCTTCACTCTTCTCCTTTTTCATTTTGAACCATATGAATTCCTCCTGATTTTTGATTCAGAATATTTTTTGTCTTCCCACTTCTCTGTTTGCATGCCACAATCTAATCTGAGCTATGCTGATATCTAATCAAAATCTTCTGCAGAAGTCTTGTCTAGAAGCAAGGTTTCCAAGACCTTTCTCACATGCACCCTGCCTGTTCCAAGTCCTTCTCCATGTTAGAAGTGGAGGGACCTTTTCAAAACACTATCATTATTATCAATATATTTTTATTGCTTTTAGGATATTTACTTTTAAAATGTTAACCTCACCTATACGCCTTACATATATCTATTGTAGATGCTCAATAAATGTTGATAAATAACTATAGTACTCTAACATTTTGAGTACATGCCTCCCTAGCTAGATTAAAGTCACCTAATGGAGAGACATATCTTGAAATTTTATGCACCCTAGTGCAATGGCAATGTGTAAATGTTTAATGACGATGAGTTTAGCATTCTAGTGACTTTATACAAGGATATTACCTCCTTATGTAAAGGAGAAGTTTATGCACAAGTAATAATGAACAGCAAATTATTAATTCTCCTGCTGTTTCCCATATCAAGTGAAGTTATTTGTTTCCTTAATAATTAGGATTCATTTGTAACAGTAATATTCTTAAATTTCTCAAGTATTTATGCATTCTTAAAGTACTTACTTCTCACCTATATTGGAAATCTATAAAACATTATCTGTACTTTTACAGAATACTACTTTCAAAGGACTGATTATAAGGCAATAAAAAGATTAACTTTCACAACAAAATGACAGAATTATAATAAATAAGATTGTTCACACTTCCTTCCCACATAAATGTTAAATTATCCCAAGTTTTTCGCTGCATAAGCTATGTATATTTACCGCTGCATCCATTGCAGAGTACTATCAAAATATTGTTTGAGACATTAAGAATATATATAAAGGAAAGATAAAATAATGTCTCTTCCCTTGAAAATCACACAGATGATTTGGTGGGGGGGGGATGTAAGACAAATAAAAGACTCTAAAGAATGAAATATATTAGCTGTAAGGCTAAGTAAAAAGGCAAAGTAAGAGAGAAATCAGCAAGTGCTAGGTGAATTAGAGAAGACTTACTAGAAAAAAATAGGGTATTAGGTGAGAGACAAAGAGAGAAACATAGCCAGAAGCAGGAAACGATACAGGTAAAATGTACAGAAGCAAGAACAGGTAGAACTTAGGAAAATAATGGTAACACCACTAATCTATAAATAAAAGCAACAGGATAATCACAACAAGAAATTTCTGGTAAATGTGTTCAGCTATAAGTGAGGGATTTTCAGCATATAATTCAGAATGCAAGAATAGTATGGACTCCAAGAGATCAAATAGTTCCCAATCTTCTCTCTTGCCACAACTAATTTTTATCTCAAATTTATAAGTAATGCTTAAACTTCAGACACAGTCTATAATACGTTGCTTCTGTGACCTTGGATTAAGTTCTCATTTGAGTGAACTGATAAAGCACGTCCCAGTTACGACTCCTACAGCTTGTAGGAATGGGATAGGATTCTGTTTCACATGTATAGCTTCTTTCCATTTACAAAATTTTTAGTCTAAATCATTTTAAAAGTGGGTGAGAAGTGAGTCATGCAAATCATATAGAAAAAAACGTAGCATTTTATTTTTTTGGACCCACTGAAAATTTAGATTATGATAATTAAACATAGCTAAGATTGAGTCCTTAGATATTATTATTAGTTTATGTTTTCTCTAACTTCGATATATTTCTTTTGTGTATTTGATTTTCTGCTATGGTATTTCTTCATGGAAGGAGGAAATGTATTATCACATGAACTTGAGCAAAATTACAATAACTCTCTAAAAGAAATCCAGATTGTCAAGCATATGGAAGAAAAACACCTGTCTATCATATTTAGAAAGAAAATTTTTAGGAAGTTGTACAATTTAAGACCCTCAAAATTATTTCAAAAGTTCCATTCAATATAGTAAATTAGTATAAAGAGTAGGAAAAAATTAGGAAATTTTTGTACGTAAAAAATATTTTTTATGATTATGGAAGTCTGGGATATTGCTAAAACTCTACTAAAATGTTAGCGATAGTGATGACTATGTGTGTGAATGTTATATAAAAAGTGCTACCAAATTCAAAGGTCCACTTAAGGATTCTTGCAAAGAGTTTACATGGAGTTGCTGGGAGCAAATTAAACCTTGAAGGAAGGAAGGAAATTTACTGGCAGCACTTTTGAAGAGAGACGGAGATTCAACTATGACAAGATTCAGCTCTGAGAACCCATTTATTTGTTATTAGTTTGAGGACTAATACTAGTATTTAACATTTGTTGAAGGCTCACTATGTGCCTGACTGTATTCTAACACTTTCATAGGCTTTCACCCACATAATCTTCTTAAAAGTCTCAGATCAAGGGCCCTTGGCTCCTTTTTACTGAGGAGGAAATTAAGGCATGGAGAGGACAAGTAACTTGCCCAGAATCACAAACGTAGTAAGTGCTAGAACATGATTGAAACATGGCAGGCAAGGGCCTGCACTCTCTGCCTTCTGCATAGAGTCTCTAATCATAGCAATTCACAAACTTGTAGCCGTCTCTATGTGTCAGGCATTTGTGCACATTGTTTTAGTTAATCTTCACAGCAATTCTAAGAACTATGTATTACTTACCCCTCAGAAATGAGGAAATTAAAAAACAGCAGGTCCAGGATTAGAACCCATGGTGTATTTCCTGTTTTCAATAGTTCTGATTTCAGCTTGGCTAAAATAAAGGGCTGTAAAGTAAACTCATGGAATATAGATTGAATAAATCAATGAAGGCCAAAGATAAAAGAATTTGAGGCAAAAATTTTAAAATTTGGAACTGATTCTTAGGATCATTCCTAAGTACTGAGGTGCTCAATAAACTTTGCTGAATGAATGAATGAATATAAAGATATTGTTACACTAGGCAATAGTAGTATGGATCACTAAGATAAAAATAAAAATAAAATAAAATAAAATAAAATGACATAATCACAATCAAACAGATGCAGATTATTTATTTTCTTCAAAATACTTGCCTATAATCAGATTCTACTGCTCCAGATCAGCTACAAAATGCCTGGGTTGTAGCTTTCTGATTTGAATATCCTTTTGCGAGGTCTTAGTCAGATTAGCAAGATTTTCCACTTTATTATATTTTTATTCAAATGCTAAGCATATAACAATAACAAACACAATCATTTTTTATTTAAAAAAATAAATCATTAAGAAGCTTTCTCAATAGTCCATGACTTCTTTCAATTATTGCTTAGTCTAAACTTCATTATATCTAGGTTGCTAGGCTCAACTTTTAAAATGTTTTATTTCAATTCTTTCAAAAATCTTTACTTTTAAACCAATGTTTTACCCAAAACTGTATTCCTATCTTAAATGTTTCTAGAGGACCTTAATCCAAATCAGTATCAACACTTTGTCTCATCGTTATTCTTCATATCACAGCGAAGTGTTTTCAGTCTTTCCTCTGCTAATCTCTTAGAAATGCTCTTGCTTCATATTGAGTCTCTTCATGTCTCAAATAGCATAAAAGAAAATGACAAAAATAGAGAAAACAGGATCATTTCTCTGGTCCTTTGTTTTCCTAATTTTTTCAACCTTGGGACTATGGCAGGCAATATTATTTACATACCAATGTGGTTTGCTCATATTTCCTTCTTTCTGATCAATATTTTTATTGGGCATGTATGAAATGAAATACAGCTGCCTCTTTTTTCCCTTACAAAGCATATGAAAGTGAATTTAACTTTTTTTTTCATAGATTGCCTTCTGAATTTGTCATTACGTACCTTAGCTATTACTGGAAACTTTTTCCCTAGAGTCAATATCTTCTAAGAAAAAAAGGAAAAAAGAAAAAACTTAATAAAAAAAAACAGCATAGGTCAAATACATGATCTGTTCTATCATTTTAAAATTTAGGAGTAATTTAGTAAAATGGTTTCTGTAAAATCACCTTTGTAATTGATCTTACATTAATTTTTAATGGATAATATTTTTATCAAATATAACTTGGAATTAAATGTTTGAGACCATATAAATCTATGTAAAGTAACTTGTTCTTACTTCTCTGTTGCAGCCCAGCTAGGGTATTCAAAACCTACAATTAGCAAGTTTCTTCAGCTATTCCATAAAGGAGGTGGTTCCATTCCTTAGAGCAGAGAGTAAATAACATAAAATATCCAAATGAAAATAAGTTATTGTAACTGCCTAATTGAATCTGCACACCATTTCTCCTCCTGCTTATGGTTGCTATTGTTTGTGGTTTGTAGGGACCGAGCACCTTTTATTTTTACTTCAGAGATGGAATACTTTATTACAGAGGGTGGGAAAAATCCACAGCATTTCCAAGATTTTGTGGAGCTTTGCTGTCAAGCTTATAATATTGTCAGAAGGCACAGTCGACTGCTCTTGAACCTGTTAGAAATGGTAAGTCCCTTGGGGAAATAACAAAAGTAATAAACTTCATTTATGTCTCTCTTTCAGTAGTCTATTTTTGCTAATGGCTTGGCATTCCCCAAAGAGCTATTCAAACCAGAAAGGAATGAACAAACTAAAAGTACCATTGTACAGCCTATAAACACATTTCTTAATAATTCATCCCATTAGGTCACAGTTATCGTCTCAAACATTTCTATTCACAATAATATTGATGTATTCAGGGGTTATCTCAGTATATTTTGTTTAAAGATTAAGGACAGTAATTTAGAATATTGTATGAGTTGTATTGTGCATAAGTACTTTAAAAAACACTGTCTCATTTACACATTATAGCAATCCAATGATGTAGACACCAGGTAAGGATTTTTCCTGGCTCCCCTTCCAGTCTCTGCCTTTTTCCAGATTGAGAAATGGGCTCAAAAATATAAGACAGCTTCCTAGCAACTCAACTTGAGAGTAGTACATTTAGTGGTATACATTGGGTCTACTGAGTCATGCTCCCACATGCTCTCTGTTGACCTACAGTAGAAAATTCAAGTTTCATTCTACTGTCTAATGTTAAAGGGATGGAGACCAGGTAGACAGGGTGAGAGGAGAGAGATCTGATAGAAATATCTTCTGGGAGAAGGATGAGATGATTCCTTTAGGCAACATACATACACACTAGTAATTGAAGCAAAATGTAGGAGAGAAACACACCTTTGGTAAATCAGTATACCATGGAATCAATGCCATCATAAAAATTAGCTGGTTTAGAACCTTCAGATGACAATAATTCTCCTAGATGCTATTAAGGGCACAGACTTCTTAACTCTAATAAGACAATGCTGCTTATCTATCAAATCTCATCTATCAAATGGAAATAATAGCATCTACCTTATAGGATTGGTGAATAAATGGCCTAATAGTGATTGTTTTGCATGAACATTATACTAAGTGCCTTATGTGTATTAATTGATTTATATTTCATAATAACCTGATTAGATAATTAGATCCTTATTAATCCAAAAGAGCACTCTCCAATAGAGTATCCTCTACTCATGTGTGATTATTTAAATTTATATTAATTAGTATTAACTAGACTTTAAAATATAGCTCCTCACTCTTACTAGCCACATTTCAAGTGTTCAGTAGCCACATGTGGCTTGTGATACCATATTGGACAACACAAATATAAAACATTTACAATGTTACAGAAAAGTTCCATTGGGTAGTGCTGAACAAATGTTGACCTTGTTACAATGAAGATTTGGTTAGATCCTTATTTTAACTTTCAAACAACATATGCACCTTACCCTGTCTTAAAAAATAGATATTTTCAAAATTATAAACATGTAGTCTTTCATATATAAGGATACTTTGGTTTATGTGTTTACTGGATATATAAAGTTTTGCCCATCTCCAGAATTTTCAAGTTGGCTATTCCAATAATAGCCAATGATGATTCATATTGGTAGATTTGCATTCTATCTCTCAATTTTTTAAGCCATACTGCAATTATGAGATGGCTTATGGTTCATAATCTGTGTTCATATCACAAAGGAAACTCTATAAGGACTAACTCTGTGACCTTTACTCTATTTACATATAAATATCTAAGTAGTATCATTCCAATAATCTCTTGGGCTTTAACAGGCTCTAAATCATGAATCCATGAGTTCATGAGTACTTAACTGTATGCCAGAAACTGTGAGGATACATTAACTTATATGACCCAGGCAGCCTTAAAATTTTCAATATGATAAGGAAGATAAAATTCGTGTACACAGTAAATGAGGTATTCAGCATTTCTAAATGTCTGTAATGTTATAAATAACAGCATATAAGGAGTAAGTGCCATATTCTAACAACTACTTGATCCAGTCACAGACATTTTAAAAATAAACCCATAGTAAAAAAAGGACAACTACAGATTATGCTATTTCTCAGGAGACACTAAAATTATGCTGAATAACAAAAGTGAACATATCAAAATAATGTGAAAGGACAGCTTTTTGAAAAAACTTGATTGAGAAAGCTATTGGTGGGCTTTTTTTTTCTTGTTTAATAAACTTTTCTACCTACCTAGACACAAAACTTTTAGCACATGCGTCATATAAGATAATTATTAAAGTAAAGAGTTTAGGGGCATCGGGTGGCTCAATCAGTTAAGAATCTGACTCTTGATTTCGGCTCAATGGTCATGATCTCAGGATCATGAGATTAAGCCCCATGTAGACTCTACATTGAGCAGGATGACTGCTTAAGATCCTTTCTCCCTCTCCTTCTGCCCCTCCCCACCCACTTACATCCACGTGCTCTCTCCCTAAAACAAAACAAAACAAAACTATAAAGAGTTTATATAATGTTATTTTATTTAAAGAAGTAGATGGTGTTTTAATCAAGTACCGAAGTAATTTTTCATAAAATAATATTAAAATCAAAGATTGAAGGTTTCTGTTACATCATATGCCCAAAAAATCTCCCTGTGTTCTAATTATTCAAGTCTTGACTTTTAGGCTAAGGAGGAAATTTTGGCAATAAAGAGCACTAATTCAGATTAAGCAAATAATCTTAGATTTAGACTCTCACAGAAATTGAAATAGACCAGAAGCAATGTGGACCAATTAGGCCAATGAAGAAACACATATCAAACAGTAGTATGGTATTCCCTCTGTTTCTGGTCATTTACCTCTCCAGTCTCTGCTTCTGAAGTTTCTTTCTTATGGGATTCTGTAGATAATCAAAGCATCAGTAAAGGTTTCAGAACCATGTTTTTTTCTGGGATAGATTCCTATAAAATAAAAACCGAATATAAATTTGTGAAAGATTACTTTCTACCCATGTGGATAATTAATATTTCCCTCAAATTCTCTTTCAAATTGACTTTTGCTGTATTAACTTCATTTAAAAGAACTCAACTTACTACTCCATGACCCAATTACAACGTGAGAAATAATTGACATGGGTCATAAATTCTACCTTCTGTGAATGGTCAATATCCAGGATTATGAGTCACAAGTGGTTGTCATGTCTACTACAGGGTTAATGGCTCATCCCTTGTTGAGAGCAGCATATTTCCAGATATCCACAGTCCTTTTTATTTACTCCTGGGAGAAGCAGGGAAAAAATAATCCATGAAATTCCCATCTTGCTTAAAAGCAAAACATCTGTAGGAGACCCAAGAGTGTTGCTGGCTGAATTCACTAACATAAAAGCCTGTATTTCATCAGCTTTTCTCTCATTAAAAAATCAATATCAGCTATTATGGAAGGCTCCCAAAGAACACAAGGACCATTCACCCAGTTTAAAATGTTTATCACACCCATTATTATATCAGATATTTCCCAGAAGAAATCTTTCTAACTGCTCTATGTGGTGGCAGAGTATCTGCTTCCCTAAGCATAAATATCAAAATAGATTTGGACTTAGGAGGAGAACAGAAGTGAAAATTTAAAAGTGTCCCTGTCCTTTAAAAGGAACTTACCTTTTTATCACCTATATCTGTTCATTACTTATACAAGCCTAACTACCCTTTCTCTTTCCTATTGCCCCAATTCAAGCTATTACCCATGTAATCTAGGCTAAGCAGTACTTGAACCATATCTCTTGAGTCAGAGAACAGAGAGGTCTAGATGAACCCTGGTGTGAGGTTATTCCTACTCCAATGGCAGAGTCATGATACTCAAAGCCTCCTCTCTGAGGAACAGAACACATCAACAAAGAAAGATAAAGTTGTACTTGTTTTCTTTAATCAACTATATAACAAGGAGAGTGCTCGGTTCATCTACTTTGAAGCCATCTGCATTTGGCAGTTGGTGTATAATGGGGGCGGGGGGAGAAGGAGTAAGCATAGGGTGTACTTCCCAAGAAAATGTTTGACTGAGTTCTAAGCAAGCAGATGTGAATTCTGAGCATCTAGAGAAACCAGAAAGCAATTCAGACTTAGGGAAGAAGTCTGTTCTTAGCAAATGGACAACCACAGTCAGATAAAGGAGAAACTTTCTCAATAAGTACACAGATGTCTTTAAAACTCTAAGTACAGGGGGATCCCTGGGTAGCTCAGCGGTTTGGCGCCTGCCTTTGGCCTAGGGCGCGATCCTGGAGACCCTGGATCGAGTCCCACATCGGGCTCCCGGTGCATGGAGCCTGCTTCTCCATCTGCCTATGTCTCTGCCTCTCTCTCTTTCTCTCTCTGTGACTATCATAAATAAATAAAATAAAATAAATTAAAAAAAATTAGAAAGAAAAAGAAAACTCTAAGTACAGAACCAAAAAGATAAAGCCTAATCTAGACTTTAGTTGCTTTCAGGAATATTCCTCTCTATGGTTGATTTTAAGTTTAGTAGTCAGAGTTGAACTTGCTACTTACAGGCTTTCAGTGCCTAACAAGGCCAGGCATTTTTTTCATTCATTCATTCATGCATGCATGCACGCATGCATTATTTTACAGATACTCATTGAGTTCTATTTACAAGGCACAATGCTTGGTGATATAAACAATTTAACATCAAATAAAAACTCAGTTCCTGTCCTCAAAGAAGTTAAAATCAAATGTGACAAACGTGAACAAAACATAGTAAAAGTGAGGCAGCAATAAGTGTGAAAAAGGGGTGACCAAGATAAGATTGCTGTACAGAGAAAGCAGTAATTAAATCTTATTAAGAGGCCCTATAGTGCTTCTAGAAGAAAAACATATTTAAGCTGAGTTTTCAAAAATAATTTCAATAGATAAGGAGGGAGAGAAAAGGAAGCCTGGCTGAGAGAAAAAATACACATATGGGTAGAGGCTCAAAGAGCATGTACATGATATGTATTGGAAATAGAGGTAATTAAATGTACCTATATTGTGGTAGAGAGGAAGATCTATATAGACAATAGATGAAGTAAAAGGTCATAGTTAGATTATAAAAGACATTTATGAACAGGATGAGGATTTTGGACTTTGATATATAGACACCTGAGAACTCAGAAGTTTCTTTGCTTCTGATGAAGAGAGTACCATCATCTAGCTTGGATTTTAAAAAGATAACTCAGAAATTATGTAATTAGAAGAGAGATTAGAGAACTAGAAAAAGGCTACTCAAGTTACCTAAGCAATTGAAGGTGAGGAGCTGAACTAGGACAGTAATTGCAATGGCAAGGGGAGTGAATACAGGAGACTGCTGAGGTGGTTGTTAGAATATAATATAACTGACATTGAGAATCAGGAAGAGAGAATCAAAGAACATACACAGTTCTTATTAGCTGGATAATGGTGGCAGTGTAAATGGAGCTATAAAACAGGAAAAAAGAGGAAAAGGTTATGGGAGAAGAGAATTTGCTTAAATTTAGATAGCACGAATTTTCATCACCCATGAGGAGAAGTAGTTAACACCTTTCCAGGACTACCCGAGCCATTTCATGGTTTTAATTACTATCTATGTGTTAATGACTCCCAAATCTGTATTTACAGCAATACATTTTAGATCCCACCCAGCCTTCCAAATATAGCCAGTTAATCACCCAGTTTTCTCAACTCAACTTCTTACTTACATATATTTAAAATTAAATAACTTAACTTTTTTCTTTATTCTTAAACATTCTCCTAGTTTAGCTTTTTATTTGGCCTCACTTTAATCCACTTTCCACAAATAATGACGATCTCAAAACACAATTTACTTATTTTAATGTTTAAAATTACTAAAAGAGCTTTCTCTTACCTTTAGGATAAAGTTCAAAACTTTTACATTGCTGAAAAATCCTGCCCTACTTACCTCTTTAGCCCCATTTCTTGTCACCCACCCACAAAATATCTTATGTTCCGGAAGCTCTCCTGGAGTTCTTTCTGTGAACTAATGAAAGATGTCTTGCTTCCCTCAGTATATCTCTAAAGGCTGCTCCCTCTGCCTAGATAGGGACAGTAGAAAAGGAGAAAAGTTTCAAATCCATTTTTTTCTCACTTGAACTTCATCAAGTCAATCACAATCTCACCTATCCTTCCTAACCATATTCTCATTTTATCCTTTATGTTTGGCATTAGCAGCATTGTTCTTAACTTCCCACTAAGTTGCCTCTATTCCAGAGCAGGAAATAATTTATCATCTTAGTCATAGAGGTACTGTTGAAATTCTCCTTCTCCTCCTCCTCCTCCTTGTGCTCCTCCTCCTCCTTCTTCTTTTTCAAAGTTTAAATTTATTTCAGAAAAGATCTACTTTCTCTCAAAAAAATTCTTTGTTTTTGCCTATAACGAAAAAGAATATTATCCCTTCAGTCTACTTTATAATTTTAACATAGTATGTTTCCAAAAGTGGGCAGAAAGAATATCTGAGCCTTTGTACAATTTTATCTTTAATTACTTTATTGTTTTAATAATCTTTAATAAATGGGAAAGCTGGGTGGCTCAGGGGCTGAGCATCTATCTGCCTTCAGCCCAGGGCATATCCTGGGGTTCTAGGATCAAATCCCACATTGGGCTCCCTTCGGGGAACCTCTTCTCCTTCTGCCTATGTCTCTACCTTTCTTTGTGTCTCTCATGAATAAATAAATAAAAGCTTTTTAAAAAATCATCTTTAGTAAATAGAATCACCACTTAACTAAGGAAAATTGTGTTTTTAGAGTATGAGTCATAGAGTCATGAAAGAATGTAAGATTAAGAACCAGAGAGATGAGTTTTATTCTTTGTGCCTACACACCATTTGATGTGGACACTTACTTACACTTTTAGGGAGATTAAGTTTTTCTTCTTTAAAATGGGTATTATGATATAATTTTTGTGTAATAATTTATAGTATATAAAGCCCTTTCTTACTCATTAGCAATTTGATTGCCCCAGAACATATTGGGTATTCTCATCTCTACTTTAAAAAAGAAAATGGAGATTCAAAGAGGTTATAGAGATTTTTTTCATGATTATTCAGATTCTAAAGAGTGGGGGTCCAGAAATTCTGACACTAGAACTAGTGTCCATCGTTCTATTATTCTACTGTCCAGTGCTAAATATGCCTCTTCTACAAGAAGATGAGGTGGGGATAATCATACTACTATGCTTACTTCACTGGACTATGATGAAGATAAAATTAAATTATTAATCTGCAAGCACTTCAACAACTCTTTGGTTCTTCTTCTTATTATTATTGTTTTGTTGCTTCGGTTAGTAAATATAGGAAGTTAAAAAATCCACTCACGTTTACAAACTGAAAGGCATTGCTATATAACTTTTATATGCATTTGTAGAATTAACCAAGTAAACTTAACCAAACTTAACTGAGTAAGATTTGATTTACGTTTATTCTGAGTTTTTTTTTTAATTTTGTTTTGTTTGTTTTGGTAAGATGCTACATGCAGGATTGCCTGAGCTGGGTGGAATCCAAGACCTGAAATATGTGTATAATAATCTTCGTCCACAAGACACAGACCTGGAAGCAACAAGTCACTTTACCAAGTAAGATTAGCTATGAATATATGAGTGTGCATTTACTCATGTGTACAGACGTGTTTCACATTTGAAATGATTTCAGGATGAACGATCATTGGTATAAAACTGTCATTTCTAGAACCAGACTATGTCTTCTTTCCCGAGGGATAGAAAGGGAGCAATGTGTATGTCTAGCAGAAGGCCTTAGTCCATGTTTCTGTAGCATGTTATTGTTTGCTACCCAGCCTCTTCATCTAATACATTGCTCAATAAGAGGTCACTAAAAAGAGCAAGGCTGACATAAATAGATTGGTTGTTCTACTTGAACTATGTCCAGGAAAACAATTTGGAAAAAGAGATTTATGATGAGATATGGACTTGCTACTTTCATCTCTAAGACAATACAAATATCGGAATATTTGGTAACTATCCTATTTTTAATCTATTTTTTTATTAAGCAAGTCTGGGAAAACACTAATACACATCAAAGTAAGAGTCTGAGCAGAATACAGTGAATATTAATTGGACTCAAAATCATTGTCAAAAGGATAGTACATTTTATAATAGAAGGTTCCTTTGAACTTTGATACTTGAATGGATCACATAATTGCTAGCAAATTTTGGGTGCTCAATAAGTGTTAGCCATAATTATTATCATAGTAAACAGTTTAAGTAGAGAAATACAGTGCTCTTTCCTGTAACTTCTTAATATCGAATCTTATTAGAGTCTACTTTTTAATTATTCTGATACTTTTAACCAGAAATTTGTAAACACGGATTATACTTTTTTTTAATTGTATTTATTTATTCATGAGAGACACAGAGAGAGAGGCAGAGACACAGGCAGAGGGAGAAGCAGGCTCCATGCAGGGAGCCCGACATGGGACTTGATCCCTGGACCCCAGGATTACATTCTGGGCCGAAGGCAGGTGCTCAACTGCTGAGCCACCCAGTCATCCCCAGATAATACTCTTTTTAATGAATGTATGTTTTGTCCTTCTGATGAAAATAGTATTTACCCCCCAATTATTGCTTTTTCTCCCCCCACCTTCTACAATGTACAGTGAGGACTCTCTATTACAAGGGAATAATGAGAGTTAATTGAGACATCCTCATACTTGATAAATTTCACTTTCGCACAGAATCTCTGTTTTGTGAACTTTCAAGGATAGGCTGCCCTAGGAGTTGAGTAGCAATATGGCAGAATTATAGAAAACTAGAGCTGGAAAAGCCCTTACACTTTATTTATTCTGACAATACATACGCAAATGGGGAAACTAAGATTCAAAGAACAAAGGCCTTGCCCACAAAGAAGTAGTAAGAAACAGGGATCCCTGGGTGGCTTAGTGTTTGAGCTCCTCCTCCCTTCAGCCCAAGGCCTGATCATGGGGCCCCGGGATCGAGTCCCACATTGGGCTCCCTGCATGGAGCCTGCTTCTCCCTCTGCCTGTGTCTGTGCCTCTCCCTCTCTCTCTGTGTGTGTCTCTCATGTTAAATAAATAAAATCTTAATAAAAAAAAGTAATAAGAAACAGAGCTAAGATTAGGGCCCATAGCTAGGACTTTAATCCCCTGGTCTAGGGTTTTTCAACATTCAACATTGGAAACTATATGATACCATTAAGGAACACCAGGCAGAGCCCTTGCCAAAACTATAACTTCCTGCTACCTAATTTGTTTCTGAAATTCTACCATTAGGGATTCTTTAGTAGAGTCTGGTAGGTTTTTTGAGTCCTGAAAAAAAAAATGCCCTTTAATAGTAGAAGTTATCTCTAAAAGAAGGATTTATGTCCATTTAGAAAGCTTCAAATATTAGTTGACAATCATTTGTGACCAAAGACACTAGCTTGAAGATTTTTTTTTAAGATTTTATTTATTTATTCATGAGAGACAGAAAGAGAGAGAGAGAGAGAGGCAGAGACACAGGCAGAGGGAGAAGCAGGCTCTATGCAGGGAGCCCGATGCGGGACTCGATCCCCGCTCTCCAGGATCATGCCTTAGGCTGAAGGCAAGTGCTAAACCACTGAGCCACCCAGGTGTCCTGAGGATTTTCATAAAAATTTCAGATCCCTGGTTTTATGGATAAGGGACTTTAAAGTTGCCTCAACTAACAGGGACAGAGGATTTGTGTGAGAAATCCCAAGGAAAAGTTAACAACCTGCATCAGGAAAAGCAGGAGGTCTTCTGTCCCAGAGGCTGGAAGGTCCTTCAGAGTCCAAGACAGCTCTGGGATCCCATCAACAGGAAAGAGCCTTTCACTCTAGTTGCTCACCCCCCGTCCAGTTAACTCCATCCTAAGTTCACATGGTACCAAAAATAGCCCCCTCGGCCTATTCCATTAGGATCTGAGTGGGATACCTTTCTTTAAAGTGGGCAGCTGCACAACAGGTACAATGATTGATGTGTCAGTGGAAGCAGGTGGGGAGCTAAAGGAGGAGGATGAAAAGGTCCAGAAAAGGTAGAGATTGGAAACATGTGATTGGGCTAAAGCCTGTGTTTGATGTGTCATTGTTTAGGCAGTTTATAAATAATCCCTACTTCCATTTAAAGCAAAGAAAAAAAAAACCCTATATATTGGTTGAAAAAAAGCTCCTTCAGGCCCTGGTCACAGGAAAAATGTAGATAGACTTTATTTGTCCACCAGAATTCCATCCCTTCACATTTCCTGACTTCAGCTGATACATCCAGATCTATAAAGAGAATAATTTTAGGTATGGGTGAGCTTGCCTATGTTGACTTATCTCCTCTTCCTATTCAAGTGATTGTGAACTAATATGGGAAGTAGATCTGAAGCCACTAATCTCTTGGCAGTGAGCTAGACCTCATTGTCTCACCTGCATATCTCTGCCAGTCTAATTTTCTCACTTTCAGATGTTATATACTATGTCCTGTTAATTAAACTTCATTCTACAACTTTATGGTAAAAAACTTGTTCTCCATTGCAGACTTAAAAGCATCTAGTCAACTAAATGAGGGCACATAATTTCTCTGTTCAATAATTGTCTTTGACTTGCCATTTCCGACCTCTTACTTTTCAGGACCTTATGATCTGGTTATCTTTATCAAGGTTTACTTACCCCACCTCTATAATTCCCAAATGAATCTTCTTCTGGGTACATAACTTTCTTAATATATCCATCCCTCTTTTGTCTATTTAAAGCATCAGAAATGGTTCCAAAGAATCATAAAATTACTAGAATAGAGGAGGGAGTCTGATCTAACTTTCAGTTCTACCTGTCTCTTGAGATGCGGGACAACTAGTACCTCATCCATGAAGCCTTCTCCGATTATTCTAGTAGTGACTAGTCTTTTTTTCTATAATTCTATAGAACATGTACTATTTCATGCTATACTTGATTTATTACTAAATTACATGCTGTCTAGTATATCACCTTAATATACTAGTTGGTTATACCAGTTTCTCCCAATGAAAACAGGGGACATAATCCCATTTTTCCACTTTCAAAAATATCTGAATGTGAAACAACTTTTTATTACCCTTGAAATATATTTAAGTTTAACAGAAAATGCTATGTAAACATCAGACATTAAGTTTATGAAAGTTATGAAACAATGGCTAACATTTAATATAGTACTTTTTATGGGTTAGGCACTGTTTAAGTGCTTTTTTTTAAGATTTTATTTATTTATTCATAGAGACACAGGGAGAGAGAGAGAGAGACAGAGGCAGAGGGAGAAGCAGGCTCCATGCAGGGAGCCCAACATGGGACTCGATCCCAGATCCCTGGGAGCATGCCCTGGACTGAAGGCGGCGCTAAACCGCTGAGCCACCCGGGCTGCCCTCTAAGTGCTTTTCATATAGTAACTTGTTTAATCATCATAACAAGTCTGTAAGATAATATCATTTTTTTTAAAGATTTTATTTATGCATGAGAGAGAGAGAGGCAGAGACATAGGCAGAGGGAGATGCAGGCTCCATGCAGGGAGCCCGACCTGGGACTTGTCCCCGGGTCCCCAGGATCACGCCCTGGGCTGAAGGCGGCACTAAACCGCTGAGCCACCAGGGCCACCCGAGATAATATCATTTTAATGTAAATTTTTAGATTAAGAGATTGAGACCCCGGAGGGGTTAATTTACCAAAAGACATAGCCAGCTGTAGACAGAGCCACAATGTATATCCAGGGGGTTATACTGTAGAATATGAGGTCTTAACCTCTACCCTGTGTGCTCAAAACCATCTCTCTCACATGCAGGCTTTTGGGATATGCTGCTTCATAAATCAGACCATAGTTTTTCCCAAGGTTCCTTATAGCCCACTTTGACTACAGTTTGAAAAAAGTAGATCTTTTCTCAGGCAATAATTCTCATGTCCTGAATATCCCAAGCCTTGATGGAGGACAGCTGTCCCTTCCCAGGAGCATTATCTCTGTGCCATCACTAGTTGTTCCCTGGATGTTCCGTTTAAGAGATGCTATAATTGCTGCCTTGGGGGACCACCATGGGATAATTTGACTGGTGACTCCAAGATAGTCACCTCTTTTCTTTCTGTGTTTTGACTCTTTACCAGATGCCTTAAACCTCTCTAATTTTACCCTTTTCTGCTCAGAGAAAGGAGATTTCTCTCATGGGAGCATGAGACTCACTCTCCTTTTAAATTCCAAGAGCCTGTCTCAATAGTATATTTTTTTCCTATAATCTCAATTACATATCTTTATTTTTAGATATGGTTTAATGTATTTTGAGTTTGCCTTTCCTGTTCTCTAAGTTCCATGGTAAACAAATGTAGGTCAAGCATTGAGGATCTTTTCTATCACACAGCACTGTCAAGACCCTGTTAGGGAGATTTGAGAAGCCTCAATTAATTGTGACTGTGATTCTTAACCATTTTAAAAAGTTACTTAAGATCTCTCTATTATTAACATATTTACGGTTTTTACAACTGATTATAGAATATTTCTTTTGTCAACACTTAATGTATAGAGTGACTATATAAACGTAGCCTGAATAATTAAAAACAAGAGTGGAGCTTTAAATGACGTGATCCATATGGTTAAAATAAATGTTAA